CTGCAAAATATTGTGCCAACATATATTAGCAGATTTTCAATTTTGGGAGCATGCTTGGTGTCTGCGAAAATGGGTCTGGGGATTTGGTGTGACCTTCTCTATTCACAGAGCATAGAACTTTTTAACAGTCCTTACTGCTTCCCTACTGTTTTATGGATATTGTCTTGGAAGTCTGACCACCCAAAAGAAGTTAGTGTCCCTATGTTGGGCAATCTCTTGATTCTTTCATTACTGTTTGATACTCCTTATTGAGGTCTCTCTTTTGCAGTTTTGTTGATTTTTTTTTCCAGGTATATACAAATAAGTTTGTGTAGTTTGCTGAGAGCCAGATGGTTAGCCCTTTGGAAAAGGGATTTGGAGGCTGGTCATTTATGGGGGGAAGAAGTCTGTTAATTGGCACTAGTTGCTATGGCCTTATTATACCAGTTCTTTGTAATCTACTGTGGCTTCAATATTTTTTATCTTCTGAATTAAGTGTCAGTGTTAATCTTTAAAATTATACATTGTTTGGGACCTGGTTACATGCATCATAGAATGTATAAGTTTAGAAAGACCTTATAAATAATTTGATCCATTATCCTGCTTGGTTTAGAGATCCACTAAACTCTCCCCAACTGTGGCCATCTAGCCCTTGTTTGAAAGTCTTCAGGTGGGCACCAGTGTTCTAGGCAGGCTGTTCCACCACTTAACACCCCTTACTTTAAGGAAATTCATCTTTATATTCAGCCTTTTTATTTCAATGCAACCCTGCTCTGAGCTTAAACAAAGAACAGGTCTGCTCCTTCTTGAATGTAACAGTCTTTTTGATATTGGTAGACCACTGTCATCTCTCTCCTCAGTCTTCTCTTTTAATAGCTACTCATTTCTAGCTCCTTTAACTGTTCTTCATAAGACTTGGTTTCCAGACCCCTTATCATTCTGGTAACTTTCCTCTGAACCACTGCAGCTTCCCAATGCCCTTTTTAAAGTGTGGAGCCCAGAACTGGACAATACTCCAAGTGTAGTTTAACCAGCTCAAAGTACAATGGAACTGGCTGGTGTGGGTCTTCCGGGCTGTGTGGCCGTGTTCTGAAAGTTTTGTTTCTTAACATTTCGCCAACATCTGTGACCCACATCTTCAGAGGGCAGGAGCACAGACAGGAGCAGTTCTGTCAGCAAGAGAACTGCTCCT